CTATAATTTTTGCTTTAAAATGCATTTTGACATCTTTAACAGGAAATTCCCTATAAGCTTAGATCAGCCTTTAACAGTTAGATTGAAGTCACATTGGTAGCACTTTCTTCTAAGGAACTCATAGTTTAAGGACACGGTCACCAAGAGACACAAGTAATTTACTTGTCTTAAGAGCAGAGAACAAAGATAAAGGAGGTTATTAGAGGAACATTTCACCTACTTGGCATACAACCTCATGCTAAGAGACCACTTCTTGCAAGAGCAGAAAACACTTGCCATAAGATGAAAAGGGTTGTTAATACCACAGTGAAAATGCTCAGCTTACTGACATCAGTGTTTACACACAGAGGTTTGTCACAGTGAGCAGCAAGTTACACCACTTTACCACAAAGTTCAATATTGAACAATCCCCACATAGCATCAGAAAGTGACTCATTAATGTCTTCCAGTCACACTGGTTTTCAAAGTGGGAGGCATGGAGCAGGCTGCCAGCAACTGCGACTGCACAGAAATCAATGGTTTGTACACGTATACACGTAAACAGCTTCAATTTAAATAATTTTCCAGCATAGATCTTTTGCAAGAAAATGCAATTACACACACGCTCACCCCCCCCAAAAAAAAAATTTAAAAAAATCAGGTGTTAGCTCAAAACAAACAAACTAAAAAACCCTCCAGCTTGCTGAATCAGTGCAAGCATCAAGTGGTATCAGAAGTGATAGGGCTCTGATTCACATTTACAGAGAAAAAAGCTACACTGCTTCAGCCCTTCTAGCATCCTACCATCTGCTTCAACCTTCTTCCAGAGCCACTCACCCTGCAAATAAGTTGACAGAAGAAAACATGACTGTGCCTGAGTCAACTCAGTTCAGCCAGCATTTTCACTTAAACCCACGTTTTTATGGAAAGTTTAATTTGCCTGCCTGAGCTGAAGCAGCTCAGGTGCAGACATGTTCCTTCCTGCTACCTGCCCAGCGAGGCCCAAGAGGAAAGGGAGCACTCAGAGGCAACTCACAGTAGCAACACAGCCGAGGTCGTCAGCCACCGCTCTGGAACTCGTGATCTTGTGCATCCACATGAGATTTGCCATTTAACAATATGTTTGTTTCATTAATCCTACCGTGTTCTGTGTTATTTATGTCATTCAGCCTCTATTTTGCTTTCCTATAACCTACAGAAACAGGACCCCAAACGATCATGAGCATAAAGGGCTCTTATTTCTTTTGAATATGTATACCTAGCTAAGTGCAGTAACTATGAAGCATGTTAGTTCTGCCTCTACTGCACAAATAAAGGACTTTACATACATGTAAATATCATGGTTGAACCAGCTACATACAGCAACAGATCTGCCCTTCAGTTACAGATGCTATCTTTACTCTGGGGAGAGGAATTAGTTTTCTAAGCTTTAAATGCAGCTACCTCGATAAATGAGCGTTAAATAGTTTAGGAAAATATACATGTCAGTGCAAGGCAAAGGAAACAAGCCAAAATGCAACACAAGGCCAAGTTTACAAGAAAAAAGAAAAAACTAGCTAAATATCTCAAGGTTAGGGTTAGAAAATGTTTCAAGGTAAAGTAACATACCCAAATTTCAAAGACAAATTCAATAATTTGTGGTGTCTCATTTTGAGCAATTTAAAATAGGCATAGTTTTTAAGAACCATTCAGCACAGCATCCCTCAAGACCCAAAAGTGCTTGCAATCATTCACGTTACATTTAATAAACAAGTTACAGGAATAAAACTGCTTGTAATTTGCATTCTCTTCCTTTGGAAAGGGAAGGAAGCAGGACTTATAAATATTTTACATGCTTGAAAACTCATCGTTTGTCATTTTTCTTTTAAGCAAATTCTGGCTTATCTCTTTGAAAATGAAAAAGAACAGTGAAATGATAAAAGGAAGAAGTGGTGATGCACTTCGAATAGGTGAGAGATAAAAGTCAATAGAGAGAAAGGAATAAAACCAGCTGAAAGCAGGAGTTAGAGAAAGTAGGCAGAAAAAAAGCACAAAAGCAAAAATATAAAGAAACAAAAATTACAAAGGCATGACTCAATGTCAAAAGCTGTACAGGTCAAGATGCATGACATATGTTTGCTTTTGGAGAAATAGGATTTGTTGACTCCGAGATACGTATTTCTTCCCTGGAGAGCATTCCAAAACACATGAGATACAGCTCTGGATGTATGGATGTCAAGAATAAAATAGAAGGAAGGGAAATCATACTGAAGGAACAAATGAAGCTGAAGTATAAAGGACAAGTGTTTGTGTTAGCATGATGCTTTCCAAGGAATTAGCTGTCAAAGTAACCTTTCCTACTCCCCCCACTTCACAGCCTGTAACCAGGGAATGTCTTGAACCATAAGTACCCATTTTTAAGTTTCCAAAACCAAAAGGAACAAAATAATTTATTTCCACTGTAGCAAAAAAGAACAAACATTTCCAAGAACATACAGGGTACCTTCCTCTTCAATGGCAGCTTGACCTTACACAGACACACACGGCACACGTTCATTTAAATACCACTTTGCTCCACAGGTACACAAAGGATTTAAAGGCATTTCTGTCATATACAATAAATGGCTCGTTTGTGAGGAATGCCATAATCAAATCAGCCAATAATGGCAGCGACACTTAACACTCAGGATGTTATCACTGATCAATAAATAGTAACTTCACACTAGTAGGAACAGGCACATATAGAAACTGCTTGAAAGTAACACTCTTCAATAAGAGACTCCCCTCTTTTTATAACATTAACAATCCTCTGCAGTTTAACCATCACAGATGTACTGAACACCATTCTCACAGTTCTTAGATTTGAGTTTTAATTAACCTTCAGAGGATGAGTAATAATTTTTCAATGTAAGTGCTTTCTAAAGACCAAAATCTACCTTATCATTATAAAAATGGAATACCGTTGCCACCCTCTACTTTGATTTTCCTTAGGAGACTGCAAGTGATACAAGAATGACTCAAGACCAGTACACACACAGAGAATTTATACAGTTCTATTATATAAAGCCTAAGATTCCTCCCTGCTTCAAGACTGCCAGTAAGAATAAGCACCGACTATACATGAAAATCCTTGACTAAAAATGTTATCAATCACAAATGGTTACACTGCAAATATTCTCAAAGATGCGATGGAAGTTGCAGAATTCAACTCCAGTAGAGCATGTAGCTCACAGTAGTGATGAAATCAGAAGGTGATGAACAGCTAGCAGCTCATCCTGCTCTAGTAGTTCTGAATCATGCAGCTGCAAAGAAAATTTATCTCTGAAAGATCAAAGTGTTAAAACATATAAATAAATTGCAAATGGTGGCTTAATAAATCAGTTTTACAATCCTGATTATAAAACATTATACCTTCAATCCTACATTTACATTCTGGTATCTGCAGGAAGTACAGCAGGCTTCAGAGCTCAAGGTGATGAGACTGCACACAGATAGAAGTGTCAGCCCACATAGAAAAGCTTTCCAAAAGCTTAATCATGGCAAACAGAACAGAGTAGCACCCAGTCCTAATGCAATACTATCAGGTTACACCTTTAATATCCGTTTAAAACCAGGAAAGTAAACACACTTGCAGTGTGGATACCATCATTGTCTGTGTTATTTCAACTACTCAAATGATACTCAAGCAGCTTCAGAATGTCTGAAGAAGATTTACATTTAATAAACCCCTTTAAAGTAACCTGGAGCCCAGGTGACAATTCATGACAATTCATCTACTGAGCTCACATATACACATAGTCACTGGTTACCAGATGAGCATTTTTACCTTCTTTACTGCTACCATTATTGTTAAGATGATCTGCATTTAATAGGTACAATTTAGGGTTTGTTAATGTCCCTATCTTCTTGCTTGAAGCACCAAGTAATGAATCACCTTTGGCTTTCAACTGCACTGCTTAGCAAAACAATTTCTGGAGGCAGCATTGAAGCTTAGTTATAAATAGTTCTTATTGCAAAAATAAAAGTAATTTGAATATATCTTCCTGCCACAAGTCAAACTACAATAATTTAAAGCAGATAAAGACGCATTAACCCTTTAAGATAACTCAATTATTCCTATAGGAAGTATTTTTAGCAGTGTAAACTTTGTACTTGGTTCCTAAATAAAGGTACGTAAATAAAAGTTATACTATATTGCTGACATCAAGTGCCTAATTCTTTACTGCCAGTAGTTCATTTAACTACTACAATATAAGAGCAAAAATCAGTGTATTTGATTTACTGTCACTGCGTGTTCACTTTATATAGATGAAAAGGACTCCAGAGCTACAGAGAAAAAGGCCCTAGAAGGACACCAGAAGCTTACTTTAAAAAGATACAGTCCAAACCTCCAAAGCAAATGTAGCTTAAACTAAGACTAAACTCACATACAAGTTATCACGAAGAGAAAGTAATGCTGTTACCTAGTGGTGGAAAGCTAGGTAGATGCAAAATTGTACAGCTCTTTTTTTTTCTCCTCACTTCGAATTCTCATCTACAAGTTATTAAAACGATGTCAAAAGAAACAAAATAAACCAACCAACCAACCAAAAAAAAAAACAACAAAAAAATCCATGCTTGATTCATAAACTAATGAAAAATACTGCTTTTCTTGCATTCAGTTCTGTGACAAAGCGTCAGTATTTTTGCATGTGCCAGTTTTGATTCTCAGAGTAACTGAGAGACGAGCAGCTTCATCATTTCCTGGTCATCCCAAACCTGCTCTTTTACACTCCTCTTTCAACACCAGCAAGAGCTGGAAACATGTGGTGTAAAAGCAACTTCAACCTTGATTCTCATTAGTTTTCCACAGAGTATGATAACCCAAACTGTACTGTGCACCCCTCAGCAACTCATCAGCTCGTATTTTCAATTATATAAATCAACATTAGTGGAATTCAGTCAGCATTTTCTCATAAATAAAAATGTTAATCTTGCTTTCAGCCAGAAAATAACTAACTAGAGGATAAGAAGGAATATATGAAGACTTTAAAGTCACTTACTCAAATGCAAAGAAGAGTCCACTGGTGACCAAGATGAGAACAAGAGTCAGGTAGAAGACTCCAGTCTGTCGAGCCATCATGATCCTCCCATTGCAGAAGAATTTGTTTCTTCCAGGAAAAACCTCCCATTTTCTCTTGGGAACTGATTTCTTTTTCTTATGGGGAGACTCCATGGGAGACGAAGAGCTGTGTGTGCTGATCTGACTGTATTCACAGTCTTTCATGGGCCCACTACCACCTCCAGGAGTCATCAAGAAAGAGTAAAATGTGGGGAGAACCCCACCAAAAATGTATACAAATATATATGTGCAAATATTCTTCTGGCCAATAGAGCCCTCTCCACCAGCCCCAGTTAATAAAAAAAGCAAATAAAACGATGAAAAGTCTGCTACCAGACTAGCAATAGGTGTATCATGCAAACACCATTTAACTCTTCAGAAACCAAAGCTGTCATATCAGAAACGCTTGAGAGGGATCCTTCCTTCTTTCCTCCACTAGTTACAAAACAACCACGTAGGACAATCCTTTTAAAAACAACTTATCACAAAACAGGACAAAAAGAAAAAAAAAGTAATTATAAATCAGTTAGGCTCTCAAAAAAAAAAAAAAATCAGTCTTTTTTTATCAAGTTTATTTTCCAATGGGAAGGTTTTTTCCTTCCCACGCACACCCTGAGACTTTTCTCCGAGGGTCAGAAGGTTGGTCAAGACAAGGTTTAGCAATCGAGTCTATCATTCATAGAGATTTGTTATAATCCTCCTTTGCGCAGCAGATTCCACTGCTAAAAATGACCATTCCTAAGACGTTCCCTCGAGAGACACGCGAAACAAATCATTAAGGGGGAGGGGAGGAAAAAAAAAAAGGAAAAAAAAAAGAGAAAAAGAAAAAAAGAAAAAAAAAGGCAAGTAAGGAACCAGGCTGCAACTCCAGCTTCCGAAGAACACTTGAAGCTCTCCTCTTCCTGAAGCCGCAGTCCAGCGGGAAGCGGCCGCCGCTCCGCGCAGACCTAGGGGCGCAGGGCTCCCCTGTCACCACTCCACAGGAAGGGATTCTCCCGAGCCCGTGGCAGCCCGGGGCACGGCCGGTCGCCGACAGACACCAGCGCCTCGGGACCAGGTCCTCCTCATCCTTCCTGCCCGCGCCTCCCCCTACACAACAGGTCCCCGCCGCCGCCTCATGCTCCCCAGCGCCTCGGCCCCGCGGGAGGGATGTTGGGAGGCAGGGGACAGGGAGGCTTCGCCGCCGCTAGATCTCTGCCAGGACTTCTCCCTCCCCGCACCATCCTCGCCGCCCGGCTCAGCGCCGCCGCGGCCGCTCGCACCCCGCCCCGCCGCAGGCTCTCGCCCACGGCCCGCGGCGGTGCCGGGTCCCCCCCCGCATCCCGCCCCCTCCCCCGGCGCACAGGAGCGGCTCTCCGCCGGCGTCCCTGGCTTCGCTGTGCTCTGGCCCCGCAGCAAGGTGAGGAAAACGCCCGGCTTCCCCCTTCGCGAACCAGAGAGCGGCGACTTTCTCTTCACCCTTCTTTACGAGCCTCTTATCCAGGTTTCCCCCCGGCAGCCAGACCCCGAAGCAGCAGCTGCCACCACCTCTTCATTTTCAGGGGGAGGCGGTAACCACCGCAGCGCCGGCCGCCCGCCCGCCCGCGGGAGGAGCCGGCGGGGGACGGGACCACACAGGCGCGCACCCTCCGCCGCCCTCGGCCGGCCGGTCACTCAGCCGCTTGTCGGCGACAGGGCAGCACGTCCCACGCACCAACCGGCCCGACCCGGCCCTCTCCCCGGCCACTGGAGCGCGGTGACTGGACTAACTCTTCTCCATCGCCACCTCCCCGCAGGCGGCCGCCCGCCGGCCGGGCTGGAAGCGCAGGGCAGCGAGCCGGGCAGAGGGTGTCCGCGCTGGAGCCCCGCTCCCACTGCCGCCGCCTCCCGCTCAGTCGAGCCGCCCCCGACCCACGCTCCGCTGAGCCGCGAGCGGTGTGTACCGCCAGCTTCGGGCGGCAGCCGCGTCCTGCCGCGCTCCCGCTACCGGGCCGAGGGCGGGCGAGTCCCCCCAGCGAACGATGGGCACGGGGAAACCCCGCCCGCGCGGCCCGACCTAGCGGGACCGGCCCCCGCCCCGTGCGGGTTCGGACACGGCGCTCGAGACACGCCCCTCCGCCCGCCGGGAGTTGTAGTTTCGCTCCGTTGTAGTTTTGCAGCCGGAGGCGGGACGGTGTCACCCTGGACTACAAGCCCCAGCATGCCTTCCGAACCGTGCTGGCGGGGCGGGGCCAGGCCGGGCTGAGCTGCCGCGGCGGCTCTCGGCGGGCGGAGACTGTGCCCGACCAGGCTCGGCCGTGCCCCGTATCCGTAGACCGATGCACGGCCCTGCTTTTTGCCCGAGCAGCCCTACGTGCCCTCCCCCGTGGCGGAGGACTGCGTCCGGGTTTGTCTTGCAGGCAGGCCGGAAGGCCGGCGCTGGAACTCCTAATCTGTCCCGTCGGGAGCCGCGCGGCCCCCCGCGTTCCGGGTCACCCGGCATAACCGAGGGGTGGTTCCTGTCCCACCTGCCTACAGTGCTCGGCTGCCGCCGTGCTGGGCCAGCGGGCGGTTGTCCCTGCTTCTCGTGCGTGCCAATGGTTCACTGCTCCACCGGCGGCATCCACATGCTCCATTATGCTGCTGGGATCACAGCGTCACCGAGGCTGGAGAAGACCTTTGAGATTATCGTGCCCTATCACCAACCTATGAAGTAACACCATTTTGTCAACTAGACTATGGCATTAAGTGCCACATCCAGTCTTACCTTAAAAACATTTCTAGGGATGATGACTCCACCACCTCTGTGGGCAGTCCATTCCAATGTTCACGCTTTCTGTGAAGAACTTCTTTGGAATGTCCAACTAAACTTCCCTTGTGGCAGCTTAAGTCTGTCCTCGTGTGCTATTGCTGGTTGCCTGAGAGACCAACCTCCATCTGGCTAGAACCTCCTTTCACCTTGTTGTAGGGAGTGATAAGGTGTCCCCTGAGCCTTCTGTTTTCCACGCTAAACAACTCAAGCTCCCTCAGCCACTTCTAGGACTTGAGTTCCAGACCCTTTACCAACATTGTTGTCCTCCAGACATGCTCCTGAATCTCAACATCCTTCCTAAACTGAGGGGCCCAGAACTGGACACAGCACTCAAGGTACTGCTTCACCAGTGCCAAGTACAGGGGAAGAACAACCTCCCTGGTCCTGCTGGCCCCACTTTTCCTGATAGAGGCCAGGATGGCCACTGGCCTTCTTTTCCACATGGGCACACTGCTGGAAGTATAAGGTTTGTCTACCAACACTGACATGTTCATACAGACCCTCACTTATGTTTTGACTTCACAGCCCAGAAAGGTATGAGCCATGAAGGGAGAGCTTTCCTAAAAATGCCATCCTGCACCAAGCCCTTCTTACATTGGCACTGGTGGCAGGGGTGCCTGCAGAAAGCCCAGGAAGGCTTCCCACAGTTAAGACAGAACCACTCAGAGCTGCTTGCTGTTGCTTCTGCCTAGTACGAACTTCATATGCATCCAAAGAAGAGCTATGAAGCTGGTAACAGGTCTGGAGCACCTTATGTTGAGCAATTGAAGGAGCAGAGGTTGTTTAGCCTGGAGAAAAGAGGGCCTGGGGAGAGTTCAGTGCTCTCTATAACTACTTGAAAGGAGGTTGTAGCCAGGTGGGGTTGGCCTCTTCTAAATACAAGCAACAGGACAAAAGGAAATGGCCTCAAGTTGTGACAGGAAAGCTTTAGACTGGATATTAGGAAAAATTTCTACACCAGAAGTATAGTCAAACATTGGAACAGGCTGCCCAGGGAAGTGATGGAATCACCACCCCTGGAGGTATTTAAAAGACTGTACATGTGGTGATTTGGGACATGGTGGATTTGGCAGTGCCAGCTATACAGTTGGACTCAATGATCTTAAAGGTCTTTTCCAAACTAAATGATTCTATAATTTTATGATCTACAATGGGTAAGCAGACATAAACCAGTGCTAACAAAGATTCATTTTGATTAATCTTTTACAGTTTTGAAATGTAGTAGCAGAGCTGTGTAAGCTATAAAGAATGGACTATTTTGTGACATGCGGTAGGAATCAATACAGTTCAGAAAAGCCAAAAGGAAACTTTTGTAAAAAGTTGAGGACAAAAAGTTCATTACAATCACCTGCATCTCTCATGGCTGAATGTTGTCCTAGGAGAGACAGAAAAAACATGTAAGGATGCAGCTGAGTTCTCTGGCAATGTGTTTTCTGTTTTCATAATTTCATTTAGAATTTTGAAATTTAATATTTATGCCTTTAATACAATAAGCTAATTCTTTATCCATAAACAGTGCCTGATAATAAAGGGACCATGGAACAGACTGACCAGCACTGGATAACTTCCCCTTCCTTGGAGGAAATTAATTACTTTGATAACCAAATTACACAGAGTAGCCTGATAGACACTCGCCTGGTGATTCTACAATCTATTTTATTGATACTCAGAAGTAATATTGGCGATGTTAATGACACATGGAAAAATATGGGGGGGTGTCTCCCTCTGCAAGGTGTACATTTTTTTTGCCAAAGGTGTCCTTTGGCAGCAGGATGTAAAAATAGTTTCTGATATCATCTCTCATGAAAATGCATTGGCATCTTTTTTTCCACACATGTAATAGATGCTGCTACATTATTCCTTCCCATCTCCTCCTCCTCATGTAGTGCCTGTTGTCAACAGTTTGCCTGCAATCTCATAACTTAGATATCACAACATTTTTTATTCATTAAAATGGTCTTTATAGACAGCTAATTTTTCTTTCTTTCTTAATGAGTACAGCACCTATGTATTCAGAAGGCTGCTGATGGATTTTTTTGGTTCACTGACAAGCATTTTTAGTCTTCATCAGGTTTCTATTATCATATTGCTGGAGCTCTGTCTTCAGTGCTTTGACAATATTAATGACTGTATCATGTCAAATGGCACTGTTCTCCTGAGATTACGGAATATTTTAGACATTCACAAATAGAACAAATGGTTTATGCAAAAATGTCATTGTTGGCTTATTTTCACAGGTAGCACTCAGGCTTATTTCAGAAACACTCTTCAAAAGCGAAACACTTGTAAACAATAGCAACACCTCGCTCAAGCTGCTGTCTCATTTCACAGTCTTTCCTTGGGTTTTAAGTCGTAATTGAGAAGTGAACCTCAGGCATATTCACTGAGAGAATTACATAAAAGGATTTGAGGGGTGCTGGGAAAAATAATTCTAAAAGTCAAACTCAGAGAACAAACACACTTTTATTTTTAACAGTGAATCTATTTTGATTCTACCATGATCATCCAGTCCTACACATTGTACTTTTTATGATAGCCTATTTAGTCCCTAATCAGTATTAGTATTGCATTGGAATTTTAAGTATTAATCATGTCTTTTATATCAATACCTCTTTCAAGTTTTCTTTAAAAACAATTTGAAAACTCCCCTACAAAAATTACTAAATAGAGTAATACTTCACATGATTCAACACTATTCCTCAAAGTATTTATTGTTTATTCACATTAATGAAAACTGGTTTGAGGCACTAAATAGT